GAAGGGTTTGTTGGTCTCGCCATCCTGTGTTTGATGATGATGGTATTGATGGTGATGGTGACGAAGATGATGATGGTGGGGATGAAGATGATGACGATGATAATGATGATGATATTAATTATGATGATGATGGTAATGGTGACGACGATGATGATGATAGCAGTGAAGATGATGATAGTGATTACGATGTTGATGATGATCGAAGTGAAGATGATATGTAATTTTATAAATAAAAAAAATGGTTAAGAACTAGCTATAAAAAAAAAGAGAGAGTGAGTTCGCAGAAATTCATTTGAAGATATCATTAAAAATATTATCCCGATCGCCATCACCATTATTATTATTATTCTCAATTATCTTCTAGAATGGCTAATGCATGCGTCTCAAAATGATAACATTGATACTTGAGATACTGAATTTGCAATAATTATATATAAATGGTCATAATAAATTTTTGTATCATTATTATCTTTATTATTATTATTATCGCTGCATTGAAAAAAAACGCCTTAATAAAATGAAATACTTAAGTAGAAGAATTTATATCACACTATCGTCACTTGCTTTCAGCCCATTGAGTTATGCAAATTTAATATATTTCTTCTTCTTCGTATTATTGTTATTGTGTGTGAATGTGTTTGTGTGTGAGTGTGTTTGTGTGTGAGTGTGCTTGTGTGTATGTATTTGTGGTGTGTGTTTTGAATCTTTGAGATGCAAACGATTTTACGAATTAACGTAGAAACAAGCCAACAGATGGAAATCAAAAGAAAACATTCAGACAGACAGTCAGACAGTCAATCAGACAGACAAACGAAGAGAAAGCAACTCAGACAGGGAAAGACAGATACAAACACAACAGAAACCAGACACGTCTAATTAATGTTGAGTAAGACTTATAAATTGATAAAATTTTACTGGTAGCTTTGTATCCATAAAATATATGCAACGTAAATCCAGAGTTGAAGGAAGAGGCTAAAGGACTAGCAACAAATATTTTAAATTTCAAGTTTCTTTGCTCCCTGGCCTTGTAGAATGACATTCTATTTCAAATTTACACTGTCAGTAAAATTTTGGAACCACATACCTTAGATTTGTGTCTAACATTAAAACATTAAACATTCATTTATTCAACATTTATTAATGAAAATTTTAAAAAGGCATTTAGGTCAGACAATAATTTCAACCAGACAGACAAAAAAGAAGACAAAACATCCAATACCAACATCGATGAGAATGAGGTTATTTCTATTGACACAGGCCAGACCAGTGATGTTCTTTCTATGGCGCATCGGGATCTCATGATCTATCTGACATTTGTCATTGGCAACAGTCAAGTAATAAACTTGATCTCTGTCGGAGACTGCAACCTGGTCGTTGTCATGGGCGGTCTCGCAAATCGCATGTGGTCTGAAATTTAAATTCCTGCCGGTTTCGTAGTTTCTCACTGAATTCGCCGTTTCAGAGTTTTCGCTTTTGCTGCTGATGGTTGCCAAAAGGACGCCTCCGTTTCTTACGCTGAAAACTTGCAGTCGGTTCGCTGTCGGTTCTGCTGTGACGATGCTGTGGCCGTTCCTCATGAAGCACGTCCCTTTCACGCAGCTAACTGTCGCTTGTCTGTTCTGGACATCAGCTGCAATTTTGTTGACGCCATTTTTGTTGGTGGTAATGGTGGAATGATTTTTCAGTGACCACATCAATGACCAGTCGCTTGTGACTCGATCTAGGCCACCACCACTAGTACTACTGTAGCTACTTGACGAGTTGGTTGATCCGGCTGATATCGTATCAGCGTTGAGGTGGACTCTCGACGGTGGCCTCGTCGGTGGATTCCATTCGGTAAACACATTAAAGTTTAATTTTTCCAGTTTTTTGTGGTTCTTAGCGGCGAGCTCTTTTTTCTCTTGAAGTGACATTTTCTTTGGAGCTGTGTATACACCCTTCTCCAATTGAGTAATGGATTGCGAAAGATTAACAACATCACCGATGGTAGTTTTTAATTTTAGCTTGTCGTTTTTGTCGATGACCAATAAATTGCTGAACGATAACGATCTGCCGAAGGAATCTTGTAGGCGAAGACCGGAGAGGGATTGCTTTGGATTGTTGCTCTTTGTGCTATTCTTTGTGCTACTCTTTGAGCTACTCCAGGTGCTGTTGGGGTCCATTTTATTTAAACTGGAGTTTGAGTTACATCGTAAGCGCTGCTCATGTTCGAGTGGAACGTGAAGTAGATGTCTGCTACTGATACTTTCACTTGCTAGAGGAGATGTTGCGTTCGATTTGCCGCTAGACCGCGAACTGGATGAAGACAAACTCATGTTGTCGTTATTTTCGGGACGATATAAGAACTGGTTTGAATTCTATAACTAATTAAAAAATTGTAAAATTGTAAAAAGATTAATTAAATATGTCTTCTCTGTGAGCGTTTCTTTGAAAAGATAGCTAAAAACTGGAAATAAAAAAATGAACTAGGTCAACGGATTGACTTTATGCAACGAAGGAGTGCGTCGTATGGTGTCAGATGTTATACAAGTTAGTTATTTATTTCTTCTGTGATGTTATGAAAGCAAGATCTATCAATGAATTAAACGACGCTAGAAACTTTTTCACAAGCTGAAAACAAAATCGAACCCAAAATATGAATAAGTATTTTCTCGTTAGTACCTTATCAATTCAACTATTTCAAATATTGAGACGTAAAATTTTAAATTAAACGCTGGCAAATTTGTTTAATAAACTATTTAAAATTAAAGTAATGTCTACCTTATAATAATTGCCTAGATTTAAAAAATTCAACTTTCCTCAAAAGTAGAAAAAACGTCGCAAGGCTCGTTGATGGCGACTTATGTAGAGGCCAATCTACCATTGCTATACGTAATGTACATCGTGTAAATAGGCACTTACTCGCACACACATTCACACTCACACGCACACGCACGCGCACACAAACAAAGCACAGAGAGAGAGAAAGAGAGAGAGAGAGAGAAATATAGAGAGAAAGAGAGAGAGATCATCTATCCGCAATTACTATTAAACGTGCGCGCATGTAGACACTTCAAGAGCACGTGAACGAGAATTGCATGTTAAAACATTCGCTACGTATTTCATGCAGGCACTTTTTCATAAGTAGTTGTTAAATTTACTGCTTTAGTGATAAAGGAAGACCTGGAATTTACTGAAAGGTCAAAAATTGATTCTTTGCTCTTTTTCGTATTTTTTGTTTGAATTTTTTTTTTTATTCAGCGTTCAGATTTTAATTTTTTTTTCTACATGCAACCTCATTTTTTTATATACGACGTTTCATATTATGGTCTTTTATTTAGTCTCTACCTTTCAGTGCTACTAGTAAAAGTTGCAGCTGTGGTAGTAGTAGCAGTAGAAGCAGCTGCAGTAGTATTTGTGATATAACAGTGACAGCAGCTGTAGCAGTATTAGTTGTAGAAGTAATAATAGTAATTATTTGTATATATTAGTAGTTAGATATAGTACTAACAATAATAGCGGTAGTCGTAGTAATAGTAGTAGTAGTAGTAGTAGCAGCAGTAGACGTAGTAGTAGTAGTAGCAGCAGCATCAGCAGTATTAGTAATAGTAGTCGTGATATTTAAATATTATTTAGTGACAAATGTGAGTTGTGAATGAATGAAGAGGTGAATGTGTGTATGGCTTAAGATTTCCGCACAATACGTCTTCACATAATAACGTAAATTAATTTACTAAAACTAATTATACATTTTTATAATTATGAATACTCATTAATAAATACAAATGCTCATGAATATTTATCATTTATAAATAATTGTGGGATTTGGTAGTAATATCAGTAGCAGTAAAAGCAGTTGTAGCAGTAGAAGCAAGATGAGTAGCAGTGTAGTTGTAATGGTACGGTAAAAGCATCGCTATTTTATTAGATGTTGGTTTCATTTTAAAAAGTGTCTACAATGTATACAAGTGTAATTTATTCATAATTTTTTCCACTTGACAAACCTTTTTTTTATCTTCATATCTTCAAACTTATTATTCACATAGTTTAGTTGTTTTGACACGTAAACACGTCTTCACCATCGTCCGATGCTAATCTGTTTATGATGGGTGTGGGTGTGGTGTGGATGATCCAGTCAATGTAACATGAAAGGGTAACACCCAAGTTTTTTTTTTCGTACAAATACCCGTGAATAATCGCATTATACATTTTATAAATCTATCTGCCTTTGAATCTTTAGTATTATCTTTAAGTTGTTTTTAACAACGTGCCGGTTCTTTAGCTTCGTTAGTTTGAATGTGTTTTTTCAAACTTGCACACAATCTAGATAGAAGAAAGTTCAATTGACGGAAAACCATTGTTTAGAAATACTGCCTCGCCCGTTACCCACGGCTTTATTATCGTTTGGTTACTCTAAAATTTATCTCTTATCTGCTTTGTGTAGAATAATTTTTGTTGTTTCTTCTCGAAAGTAAAGTATGTGTTGTTAAATCCCTTTACAAAATAACATTTTTGTAGTGAACGTGTATCTGGAATGTGGTGCATTTTTTATTCTTAGGAATGGGGCCAGTAACATTTTCTGTGTTTATTATGAAGGAACTCATCCCAATGTGAATTTTGATTTATACTTTTAAACATATTTTAATAAAAAAAAAATTTAAAGATATTTGAATTAATCAAAATTTTTTGTGTTATGTTTTTGATTTAACATGCTGAGCTCTTTCAAAATGGAGATTTTTTAACGTTGGCTATAAATAGACCTATTTATAAATAGCAACCAATTAGGGGAAACCATTTGATTACGTCATCAGGTTGGTAAAACGTTTTTTTCAACTGATTTTTTCTATTATAATAATAAATCAAATTTTTCATCATCGTCGTCGTCATCGCCATTCAACATAACCATCAACATTCCTTCGTTATCATCATCACCGATAACCTTATCGCCAACATCATTATCATCATTACCATCATCATCATCTTCATCCTCTTCGTCATCCTCTTCATCATCGTCGATATCACAAGGAACACTATAAAATTACTTCATTTTTATTTCATGAAAATTGACACAAAATGCTCTAACAATATGAATGAATAATAATTACATACATAGAGTGATAGAGAATAACACGGAATAACAACAAAAAATACTCGAAAGCACGCACACAGGCAGACACACTTGACAGTCTGTTATATAGTGACCGTCTATTATTTAGCAACAGTCTGTTCGCTGATAAAGGCAGTAGATATGATTAAAATTAAAAGGAAGACAAAAGAACCTCTCTCTCTATCTCTCTCTCTCTCTCTCTCTCTCTCTATATATATATATATTGATATATATATATATATATATATATGCAATAATTTAGAAAATCTACCAAATTTTTAGCGTTTGATAGTTTTTTATTACATTGCTCAATATTTCTAACCAAATTCTTGTCGTCATTATTTATTTTATTAAAGTTAGAATGATATATACAGTTTTCCAATTCATTCTCAAGTGACCTATTTCGATTTTTCAATAATCTTCAGCGCTTGTTGCAGTTTTTATAGAGAATTTAGATAAACCAATGCTTGCTGCAGTTTATAATAAAGATTTATGTAACCCAGGCCTTTTAGTTCTGTGATTTGCATTCATTATTATCAGTGACTTTGTTAATTTTACTGCCTTCTTCACTAATTGATATGGTTACTTTGTTCGGGCTAATTGCTTTGGTGTTATGTTTTATTGTGCTAATTTTATTGGTATCATTTACTTGCTCTTTGACGGCACTTTGGTCGATGTTACTTTCTTTATGACCTTTATTTTTAACCTCCTGGCCAAACAGAGTTTCAAAATTGTGTGTAGGTCGCTGGCATAAAACTGATCTTACGTAAGCAAGTAACTAATTGATCCAAAAAGTATGTACACTGGATATTCATTCTACTATTACTTCTTAGAAACTCACGAGTAGGAGATAAAGCATAGATATTTATGACCGCTTCGTTGATATCGTTGATATTGATTATAAACACATTTCGTGAACTCTTATAATGCGTAGATGGCTAAACATGACGTTAATATTTATTATACTGTTGATAAAATCACACATCCAACACACACACACAACACACACACACACACACTAGAGAGAGGATAAGAGGGAAAAAGAGAGAATGAGCAAAAAAAGACAGAAATGAATGTGAGAGACACATTACACACACACACACCCACACACACACACACACATATATATATATATATATATATAATATGTATATACACACAGACATGAATATACATTATGAGTTACGTACGTGTTATGACGTCACATGCCTATTTACTGCGTTAATTATTATTTATTATTATGAATATCTGACGGCAGAGCATAAATTAATTGTTCGAGTGGTCACTAAAATGAAGGTAAACGAGTAATAATTATCCCAATTATTAATTGTAAAAAATTTAGATCTCTCTCGATATCCTTTCTCTCTTCTTTTCTTTTTTTTCAATTTTTTTTTCTTTCTCATTTTTTCTTATCTTCTCTCTTTTCTCTTTCTCTCTCTCTCTCTCTGTTTCTTTCTCTCTGTCTCTTTCTCTCTTTCTCTCTCTCTCATCTTATCTTGTCTACTTGTTATGATCTTGTCTAGCGTTTCATATCTGGGAAATACCACAAATAGATGTGTGGGAAAACCATCTTGAGTTTTCACAAGTGCACGCACGCACGCACATAGCCAGGACACACATATATGTAAATATATATTTCTATATACATATATTGATACACACATACACGCACATAGCTTATTAACAAAAAACACATTAGCACAATATTACAGAAAAAGTTCAGCCAAAGTACAAAACTCAAAATATATACCTCGATACATTTTGTGTCCAAGATATGAGAATAAGTTGGGTTATTTAATCAGTCACTCTTTGATCCTAAACTTAATTTTTGTTAAAATTAACCGATCAATTTTTAAAATTTCATTCTTCTTAAGTTAAAGTTTATAATACCAAAAAATTTTTAAGAATTTGGAATCAATGTTAAGCTTACCTCTCAACTCTGCATAACATATGAATAGAAAGTTGCAAAAAAATTTGGCACAAATTATTGAAAGATTGTTAAGCAAAAAATAATTAATGTTAAGTTAATTTTCAATTTTTTTTCCAGAATTGTTAAAATTATTTACAAGTTTTGAGGATTTGACCACTTGAAATGAATCTAACTCTATCGCAAATAATTGAAAACCATTTATTTACTGCACTTGCATTCTTTTGTTTAATGAATTATTAAAAATCACCCAACAGTGCATTTCTTAGAAATTCGTTGAGCCTACCGATGACAGTAGCCGATGAATTGTAGAGCTTTTATGATTTTCATGTACTTTCAAATATTTAACATTATTCATCGTTAACTATACACGATACTTCACGATGACAAATTTCATTCTCAAGTGTCGATAAAATTTTATCATTCTTCATTCATTCACCCACTCACTCACTCACTCACTCACTCACTCACTCACTCACTCACTCACTCACTCACTCACTCACTCACTCACTCACTCACTCACTCACTCACTCACTCACTCACTCACTCACTCACTCACTCACTCACTCACTCACTCACTCACTCACTCACTCACTCACTCACTCACTCACTCACTCACTCAATCATTCATTCATCCATTCATTCGCTCCATCAATCTCTCATTCATTCATCCATTCATTCAACCATAATATTTTCATTCCATCTTTCAATACTTGCCTAAACGTATGGGATATATATATATATATATATATTGTAAAAAAATATATATATATATATATATATGTGTGTGTGTGTGTGTAGTGTGTATATGTGCGTGTTTTTTAATTAATTCACACATGAATGTGTAGTCGTGACCCAAGCGTCATTTTCTTATCATTTCGTTTTGTCTCAAAAATAAACAGATTTAATTTTTGTAAAAATTTCTTTCCAGTTTATCAGTTTAGGCTTTAGAAAATCACAAAATTAAAAAACCGTCAAATGCTATCATGCTTTCGCATAAGACAACCGAGACTAGATTACCAGTCGTAGGTAGCGCTTGCAACATAAGACTGGTTAGCATCGTCCAAATGACAAATGAAGGTTTAGCGTAGATTAGAATTCAGGTATATTCGGACCAGTCACAGTAATTATCGGAGGGACGTCAGTTTGAAGAGAATATATAAGGAATGGAGGAATATACCAGACCTGAAATTACTGATATAAATAATCAGAAACTATAAATCCTCTTATAAAGTAACGTAACTTAGAAATTTTGGTCAAAACAAGGTGAAGAAAGATAAAAGAAAAGTTTGAATAGTTTTGTTTTGGTATAATAATAATAATACCTTGCTTGGTATAATAATATATTTTGCTTGCCTTCCACAATCAATTATAACAACAACCTCACATTTTTAGACACAAATTTTTATGTTTTTTAACATTTTTCGACAGGATATCACCATCGCTAAGTCAACGCTTATGACTAAATTAAATTTGTAAAAACAAGGCCAAGAAAGACGAAACAAAAATACTTTTTTTTCGTATAACAGAACTATTAAGAAATCTAAATGTAAGTACAAAAACACATTTAAAAGCATATTATAAACTTCCAGTTTTATCATTTGTCGGTAGCATAACGAAATTGCATAACATACAGACAGAAAAGAGAGATTACATATTTTTTCTTACAATTTCAGCTTATATAAATTCTTCAGTTCCATTACACCAATCATTCTCCATAGATTTTATTCGGTATGCTAGACATACTTATGTAAGTATACATAAGCACGCATGTACGTGTGTATAAACTTTTTTAATTACAACAACGAAGATACCAAAATATTGATTTGCAATTATGAATGGCTTTCTCTCTCTCACACACAAAAAAACTCATTAAATAAAAATTAATAATTAGGAAGAGGAAGGGATGAAGACTAGAGAAAAAATGGCGAAAAAGCTTGAGCGGTTTTCGTATTTAGATGATCGCACAACATTTAATTCCTTTCGTGCTATACAAAATTAAAATTAATAATTCAGCGAAAAATTTAAATATTATGAAATTTTGAAAATAATTATTATTAAATTATTATTATTAAAGAAACAACAAAGTCACAATAAAATAAACCATTAAAGTATTTGGATAGAGTAACTTAACACGCATGAATTGCGATTGAATCATTGAGATAAGAGTAATAGAGTAGTACGCACACACCACACACACACACGCACACACATCTTTCGTATATGTGGAATTTTGTGTAAATTCTGTAAATTACATTAAATACAAAAGTATTAAATTAAAAAAGTTAATTAATTATTTAATTAATTAACCAACCAATCGACTACAAATTAAATAATTAATTAATCAAGCAATATTAACTAATTATTTTCTAAAACCAATGACAACCTCTTCTAAGAACTAATCAGCAACAATCATAATGACACAGTAGATAAGAGAAATATTGATAACGCACATACATACATATATATTTTGCATTTTATCATTAAAACATAAAATTATTTAACCACAAAAATTACGAAAACATAAAACGAAAACAAAAAAAAATGTTAAAACAAATAAAAAAAATATTAGTATTAGAAAACAAAAAAAAACAGCTATATTAGTCTAGGCACTTGTTAATGTACGTACACACACGTACACACGCGCATACGTACAAGTGCACATACATAAAACACACGCGTGTACGTATATAAAATACACGTGCACCGTGAAGATACATTTGCTATGAAATAAAATATTAATAGAGATACACTTGCATGAATAAAACGTTAATTACAGATTTGACAGTTCACACATATTTGCTGTTTCATTGAAATTCAACGAATCACATGTGGATACATAGATAGATACATAGATACACACTCACACACACGCACGCGTACACACATAGGGATACTGATAACATTTATCAAATAAAGATGGTGGATTTATTCACTCACCAAACTTGTAATGCATAAACAGCATGTAATAGTTCATAACAGTCAAAAATACCAAATTTAATGAAAAAAATAGTTAGTGAGCCAAACGATAATTAGTAGAACTCTATTCATAAAATTAATTGAGGAGATGAATTGATCAATTATCAAATGAACCACTTAATTAATCAAATCAACTTGCTAAACGATTAAAGATTGTATCAGATGACAATCATTCTTCGGCCTTGTCAGAGATCTTAAGATCTTTATCCAAAGCTTTGCTGACCTCCTTGACCTCATCATCATTATCAGATTTCGGTTGCTGGCTGCCCTCGACATCGGAGGCATTCCTTCTCCTTCTCTTGTTTTCCCTCTCGCGCGCCATCTCCACCTTCAAAACGGTGTCCGACATTTTCAGCCCTGCCAGACTGCCTGCTGCTTCCTTCGCGTCATCCATCGTCTTGAAGTTGATGAAGGCAAACCCCGCTGCACCCTTCCACACAAACTGCAGTGGGTTCACTTTCTCGAAGCCTCGAATCACCGATTTGAAGTCTGACACTCGGACATTTCTGGGAATGTTGCCGACGTAGATCCAACCATCTCCCTGCCTCCTATAGCCCCCCTGCGGTCTGCCACCATCACTGTAAATTCTTCTCCGATTGTTCTGGAAATTCCTGTAGAGTCCTCCACGACTTCCAGAACTAATCCTCTTTCTCTGATTATCTTGGTTATCCTCTTTGCTGGTATCCCCACTGCCATCATGGTTGACACTATTGTTCCTCTTCTCATCTTGCTCATTTTCATCAGTCTTCCTTCTCAATCTTCTGCTGTTTCTGCCCTGGTTAGGATTTCTGTAGTTGCTCCTCCAGTTGTTGAAATTGTTTGCAAGCCTTCTACCCCGGAAACCTCCATAAAATTCTCTTCCTTGACTGACGTTAGCCCGTCTTTGACCTTTTTTCAAAATTGGCTCAATCTTTTCATCAGTTAATTCCTTAGGTGCCTCGGTTTCATCTTTCAGAAGTTTCAACTCCGACGCTCCTTCCTTCCAGGTCTTGTACCTTAATTTCTTCAACACCGGTATCGCATTGTACTTCTCTAATGGCAAGGTCTCCCAAAAAATTTCACCCGGCCTAGTTTTACCAGTGCCTTCACAGTAGATGATTCTAGATGGGGTGACAATAATGTCCACAGAGACGTCATGCTGTTCAAATAGCGCATCAGGCAAGTCTTCAAAGACCTGGCAGTCATGAACGCAAGCTACAATCTTCGTCGTTGAGTCGATCATACCCATGACTGACATGACACCATGCTCCAGGTCACCATAACCTTCACCTTTCCCAATTCGCAAACCTTGTTAAGGAAATTTTTGAAAAACTGATATAATTATCATCTAGCAAAAATTTTAAAATTGCAAATTTAAACAATCAATTTGAGCAATTAAAATTATATATATTAAGTTTATCGACACAAACACAAAAAGTTTATAAAATTAAAATAAGCATTAAGAGAGCTCTAATAACAAACAAATTGAAATGCTTCGGTATATGCTAATTTGAAAAAACATACAAAAACAAATTGTCACAATACAAGGTGCTTACCTTTCATGGAAACGGCTACAGCTCCAACAATTACCAGATCAATCTTGTCCTTGTCGGCACTATCCAAGTTAATGGGCGTGCTGTGGTTTATCATCCCCTAAAAAATCATCAAATGCATTCAAACATGAAAATATAAAAGTACATTAATAAGCTTTAATTTCAATATATAAACTACTATATTTCATGTTATAAACTAATGTGAAATTTTAAAACATTTTCAAAAACTATAGTACCAGTTTAGTTGAATACGTCCAGTTCTTCTTTGAGTCGTCTGTTGGGGTAAGTTTGTTGAGAAAGTTCGACAACAGCCTAGGTGTAGGCACAAAGATCGTTTTGCCTTTCTGTTCAAATAATTTTAACATATAAAAATAAGTCTCAATCCTGTCTCATTTTCAATCAGGTAACCAAACTAGGTTACAAAACAGAAAGCATCATATGCTTATATAAATCACAGAACATGCAAAGAAAAGAGAAAAGAAATAAAACAAAAATGATATGAAATTGCCAAAAAAACTCAAATAATGACCTCCAGGGCATTGAACCTAACATACTGCAGAGGCTTGTCAGGATCAATTTTTATTAGTTTAGCTTCCTTGAACTCCTCCAATTCCAATAACTTTGAAGAAGTTTCTTTGGTACTCTACACAAAACAATAATTTTTCTAAGTAAAAATTTGAGTGATAGCTAAGCTAAAGCTTAAAGTTGAAGGGAACAAAAAGCGTCGAATAACAAATAAATAATTATAAATTTATAAAAAATATACCTTGTAGTTGGGGATTCTTTTGTGTGGTGGCAGAGGATTTTCAGCCAACTCATTATCACTTAGGTAATCCCAAACTTTGCCTCTTATCGTTGCCTTAGTGTCTTCTGATTTTGGCAAATTTGAATTAATTGAAATTTAATGTTAGACGATCACTTCTTGAATATTTTTAAAATGAAATGGAATTAAAAGCAAAAACAACCTGCCGTGAGAACAATGCAATTCTTGTAATCGCCTTCCATTGGCTTTTTTACTCAATTTCGCAACACAGCAACAACTTGCACGATTCCTGCGAAAAACAAATTAGAATACTGAAATGAATTAAATGAACGAATATTTCATGAAGTGAGCGCACAAAACAACTAACCGGCCGACAAAACAAACTCTTCCGACCACGAGAAAACACGAACGGGAAAAAATTAGGCAGCAAAATAACGCCAGTGATCTTTCGCAAGTTTAAAACCCAACCGAATTTAAAAAACTTAAAACTTTTTAGACAATGTTTACAAAAATAATATTTTGGTAAATAACAATATTTTAAATAAAATTTAAATTATATTATAATTAATTGTGTTGCATTACATCCAAAATTTCTTTTATTGTCAAACATTCCTTTTAAACTTCAACTTTTAAATTATTTACTGTCTTTGGCTTGGAAATCTCAAAAAAAAGTTGTTTACAAAGATTTATCGCTAAAATCCAAACATCGTAGTCGGGATGGAGGTTGAAAATAATTAGCAAAAAAATAAAATAATTAAAAAAGAAATTAATTAAATTAAAATTACTAATTCAGTAAAAAAAATTATGAAGTGCGTTCCGTTTTGGAAGGGTTGCAATCGCAACGTAGATTACATTGATCAGCGGAACAGAAGTTTGACAAAAGTTCCGGATGAAATTGAACGGTATTCGAAATCGTTGGAGGAATTATTGTTGGACTGCAATCAAATTAGGGATCTGCCTAAAGTGGGGGGTTTTTTCGTCATTCAATTTTTGTAATTGTAATATTTTATTTAATTTTTTTGTAACCTGACTGAAATTGAAACTTTAAATTTTAAAAGTAATAAAACAAATTATATATTTATTTATATTTTTATATCATGAATTATAATATTAATTATATATTATTTTGAATTAAAATTTTATTAGTTAATTATTTAAAAAAATTGAACTAAAAAAATCATTAAATTTTAAAAAGCTTTACCACTAATAAATCTTAATCATAAAAGGTTAAAGGTTACTCTCTCTCTTTTGGGTTAGCTTCAGAGGTTTCAACGACAAACACACACAGCGTATATGAATATGCGTGCAAACCACGCATCATACACATTGCATATGATAGGCGGCGATCTCTTTGTATTCGAACCCAGTCATTGCAATAGCAAGACCATAAATCGGTAGTATATCAATATCCCTAAAATAATTTTTAAATGTCTTAAAAATTTAAATTAAATAAAACAAAAATAGCTGCCTAAGTAATTTGGAGTATAAATATCTGGTGAGAAATTAAATAAAAAAGCAATACTCTGATCCAAAGTAATAGATGGGTGATGAATGAAAATTAATTAATTAACTAATTATTATATTATTATATTTTTCTCTTAACATACAGAGCTTGTTTCGATTAGAACAGTTGAGAAAACTGACTCTCAGCGAAAACCAACTTTCTCGCCTACAGGCTGATTTTGCATCTCTGGTGAACTTGCAAGAACTTGATGCCAGCAAGAATGGTTGGTTGTTATTGTTCTTGTGATGATAGCGATGTTTGTTGTTGTAATTTTGTTTTAGTTGTTATTATTAATATGTCATGTGATTGTTATATTGTAGTTGTGTCGCTGCTATTCAGTATTTCTTGTTGTCAGTAAATCAGTTAAAATTAATTTTAATTCATTTTAATCTGAAAAAACAGTTTTTCTATATTTTTTGTTGATTTGATATGGCATCATATTATTGCCAGAATAAGTTATTTTTTTATTTTCAATTTTTTCATTTTTTTTCATCTGTAAAAGTTCATAACCTAAGCACCATTCATTCATTCATTCATTTATGATGATAATGATGATGTATGTTTTTGGTTAATATAATTTTATGTGTATGTGAGTGAGATAAAGAGGGAAGAGAAAGAGAGAGAAAGTGAGTGTGTATGTGTGTGTAGGTGTGTGTTTTAATGATTGACTTTCAGGCTTCATTCTTTATTTTACAAACAGTTATTACTATTACTGTTATTACTATTATTATTACTGTTAGTATTATTAGCTTGGCTACATTCCAATCTTTCTTGTTATTATTATTTATATCTGGTGCAAGTAAGCTAAATTAGCTAATTTTTTGATTTGTCAATTAGGAGTCAGTTTGAGGTCTGTTGCTTGAAATAAGTTAATTCTCTACATAAACAAAAGTATCCACACGCGCGCGTGCACACATACACACAGATACAGCACACACATACATCCACTCACAAATATGTGCACTAGTAGTATATATAAATTTTTTCAAATTATAGTTTAAGAGTAATTATTTTAATTTATTTTTTTTTTCATTGTCATCATTAATTCCTCAGGAATAACTTTTTTAAAATAAATTTTGATATTTTTTTAATTTTCTACTTTTTAGCAT